TCGGTTCAGGGATTTGAACCGCGAGGCATTCGCCCGGCAGCGGCGCTTGCCTTCCTCTCGTGCATCTAAAGCTAACAATTTTCACTATGAACCGGATGTGCTGTGGGTAAAAGGGGTCGCATCGGAACCTCCAGTAAAAGGGGGGTCATGACGCCTATTTCTTCGATAGGTTTTCACTCTGACTCGTCCGCTGACTCGTATGCGTCTCTGCCTTCTCGCCGCGCGACGAGCCTCCTGACGGGTACCCTTAAACTTTGGAATGTAGCCGAATATAAGGCATGGATGATACCCAGAGATAAATCACGCAATGACTAGTTTTATTAGGAATACTGACTAGGCCATCATGAGATCATCCGGTCGTAAATAGAGGCGAAGTAGCGTCGTCTACGGATATGGATGACAGCGTGGCAGGAAGATAGTGGGCGACAAACGAAGACGTATGAGTTGAGAAGGCGTCGGCTCGGATGTCGGATCCTCATTGACGATCGGATGGCAGTGCTACACATGTTACATTCGATGAGTAAGCGCTACTGTGTCCTGGCATTCTCTTCATCCCGCAAGATGATGTTATTGGTCAGTTGGCCTTAGCCAGAGGGAGAGTTCTCGCGAGGAAAGGACGAAATAATCACGTGCCTTTCGTATAATTATCTCTTAACGATATCCACTTAAGTTATAGTCACCTCATCCTCGCACAACGGTCGGTCGTCCGAGCGTACGATCGCACAGCATCAGATAGGTATCGATCGTCGATCATACGACGCGTTCGATCACCTCGGACCATCGATACAACCGTCTATTTGGGAAAAAAGAAGAGCGTAGAGTGCAGACCACCACCACAAGTGACGACGGCTAAAAAAAGTAGCTTCTCCTCAATTTTCTTCCGCTCTTCTCGCCTTCCGAAATAGAGGATATCCAATGATGTGTGATAGTTACGACTGCTACGATCAGACAACGGACAGACTGTGAAGGCGCCCTACAGGCCGCTTTTCGCCGCTGGTACAGTATAGGCACAGTTCACGGAAAACGAAACAATCGCCAAAGTTCTCACATTTTTCTCAAGTTTCCAATCTCTTTTGTTGTTCTTTGTGAAATGCAGCATTTTCGACTTCTGTGCTTTCATGAAACACCTTTTTGAAGTGATTCTTTGGAATGGCTGACCCCGTCTAACGATCCTAAAATATCATTGAGTTGCACTGGGCCAGCGTTCGCCACTTCCAAACGCGTGTCGAAGCGAAGAAGGCCGTGGTGTGCGGAATCGCTTGAAGGAATACTGAATTAGAAAGTTTCACTCAGCGACCTTCACGCACTGTCGTCACTTTGACCAATTTCAAGAATTCGACCGATTCTGCAGCAGTCCAAGCAGCTCAATTCCGCTTACGATCCCAGAGTCCTTTCCCTCTGCAGCTTAGTCATAAGGCTTATATTAGGTCTTTCGAAAATTCTGTCGTTTTCTGACACTCCACTTTTGGATGCTTCATTTTCCTTGAATTCCAGAAAATTGCGACCGGTATTAATATCATTTTAACACGTTGACGACAGCGTGACGCGGTAACGCGTCCCACTTTGCGCACCTCGTGGGACATTGTGACGCGGTAACGCGTCCCACCCAAGTCATCCCTTTTTCTTGCGCTTGCGCGACTTATTCCTAAGGTCTTTGTACTCATTCTATAGGCCATACAGCATACTTAGAAACCACATGGCTCACAGAAAGGCCAGATATTCGTGTTAGTGTTATAT